AGTCTTATTACTGAGGACCAAAATAATGGAATCCAAATCTAAAAAGTCTGATCGAGATGTTCCTATATTCTTCACTCCTACTGCTTTCCTTGGAACAACTTCTTTTGCTCCAATCATAGGCTTCAAGTGAGGATATCTCTCCAGAGGCTCTATTAAGGGCATCTGTTAAGCTTTACTGGGTACTGGATGAAGATGGGTTATGGATGCTGATGCGAATGAATATTTACCAACATTATATTTCTCAGATCTTCGTTTCTCAGATCTATGACAAGTCTAATTAGTGAGAACAAAATTAGTAAAATCCAGATCTGAAAAACCAGATCTACATATTTGTGTATCCTTCACTTCTACTGCTTTCTTTGGAACAGAACCTTTCATTTCAATGATAGGCTTCAAGTGAGGATATCTCTCAGGAGCCTCTATTAAGGGCGTCTGTTCAACTTCTCTTGGTGCTTGCTGAAGATTGGTAATGGATCCTGAAGCAAATGGATAGTTAGCAACTTTATATTTCTCAGATCTAAGACAAGTCTTCTTACGGAGGACCAAATTAATAGAATCGAAATCACAAAAATCTGATTCAGATGTTTCTATATACTTCACTCCTACTTCTTTCTTTGGAAAAGGTTCTTTCATTTCAACGATAAGCTTCAAGTGAGGATCTCTCAGGAGACTCTATTTAGGGCATCTGTTCAAATTCTCTTGATGCTGGCTGAGGACTGGTAATAGATACTGATGCAAATGGATAATTACCAGCTTTATAGTTCTCAGGTATATGTTTCTCAGATCTACGTCAAGTCTAATTACTGAGAGCCAAATTACTAAAATCCAGATCTGAAAAATCAGATCTAGATGTTGCATATCCTTCACTCCTGCTGCTTTCCCTGGAACAGAACCTTTCATTTCAATGATTGGCTTAAAGTGAGGATATCTCAGGAGACTCTATTAAGGGCATCTGTTCAATTTCTCTCGGTGCTGACTGAAGGTTGTTAATAGACCCTGCTGCAAATGGATAGTTAACAACTTTACACTCCTCAGATCGATGTTTCTCAGATCTATGACAAGTCTTATTACTGAGGACCAAATTAATAGAATCCAAATCTGCAAAGTCTGATCGATATGTTTGCATACCCATCACTCCTACTTCTTTTGAAACAGCTACTTTCACTTCAGTGATAAGCTTCAAGTGAGGATATCTCTCAGGAGACTCTATTAAGGGCATGCCAGCACACTGTTCAACTTCTCTCGGTGCTGGCCTAAGATTGGTAATGGATACTGATGCAAATAGTTACCAACTTTATAATTCTCAGATCGACGTTTCTCGGATCTACAACAAATCTTATTACTGAGGACCAAATTGATAAAATCCAAATCTGAAAACTCTGATCGAGATGTGTGTATACGCTTCACTCCTACTTCTTTATTTGGAACGGCCTCTTTTATTTCAATGAGAGGCTTCAAGTGAAAATACCTCTCAGGAGACTATTAAGGGCATCCGTTCATCTTCTGTGGGTGCTGGTGGAAGATTGGTAAAGGATGCTGATGCAAATGGATATTTACCAACTTATAATACTCAGATCTATGTTTCTGAGTTCTACGATGTCTTATTATGAAGGAACAACTTAATACAATCCAAATCTGAAAATCCTGATCTAGATGTTTCTATATCCTTCAGTCCTACTGCTTTTATTGGAACAGCCTCTTTCATTTCAATGGTACATTTCAAGTGAGACTATCTCTCAAGACTCTATTAAGGGCATCTGTTCATCTTCTGTGTGTGCTGGCTGCACACTCATCATGGATCCTGATGCAAATGTATATTTACCATTTTTATATTTCTCAGATCTATGACAAGTCTTATTACTGAAGACCAAATTAATAGAATCCAAATCTTCAAAGTCCGATTGAGATGTTTGTATATCCTTCAGTCCTACTTCATTTGAAACAGCTACTTTCACTTCAGTGATAAACTTCAAGTGAGGATATCTCTCAGGAGACTCTATTAAGGGCATCTGTTCAACTTCTCTCGATGCTCGCTGATGATTGCTAATGGATCCTGATGCAAATGTATAGTGACCAACTTTATAGCTCTCAGAACGACGTTTCTCAGATCTATGACAAGTCTTATTACTGAGGATCAAATCAATAGAATCCGAATCTGAAAAGTCTGATTGAGATGCTTGTATATGCTGCACTCCTACTTCTTTATTTGGATCAGCCTCTTTCATTTCAATGACAGGCTGGAAGTGAGGATATCTGTCAGGAGACTCTACTGAGGGATTCCATTTGTCTTCTGTGGGTGCTGGCTGCACACTATCATGGATCCTGAAGCAAACGGATATTTAACAACTTTATATTTCTCAGATCTATGACAAGTCTTATTATTGAGGGCCAAAATAATAGAATCCAAATCTGAAAAATCTGATCTAGATGTTTGTATATCCTTCACTGCTACCGCCTTCTTTGGAACAGACTTTTTCATTTCAGTGGTAGGCTTCAAGTGAGGATGTCTCTTAGGAGACTCTATTAAGGGCATCCTTTCAACTTCTGTGATAGACCATCGCACCTCTCTGACATCATCTCCTTCTGTCCTCCCCTAGCCTCTCTCTCACCCCTGGTCTTTACCTAAATGGGCAGGCACAGCTCCAGTGCAGGACCCCTTGTCTGCTGCTTCCTCCCTGACATCAGCTCAAAGGCCATGCCTGACAGATGGCCCCCACCTACTTGCAGTCCCTTTGCCTTCCTGTTCATTCTTGTTCCAAAGTGCTCATGACCACCTAGCATCTACCACCGTACTTTTACTCTCCTCCCTCTAGAAAGTTCCATGAGTGCAGAGCCCTTGCTCGGCTCACTGCTTTATTTTCACTGCTTTCAGCAGTTCCTGGTTCATAACAAGAACTTGGTAAATATGTATTGAATGAATAAATTTATAAAAGAACTTCATTTAGATAATTACATCTCTGGGTGTTGCTAATGGTGACAGTCAAGGCTCTAAGAAAGCAAGAAAACAATCTGCATCATCAAGTGGTGATGAAAAAATATTCCTATGACA